TTGGCATTTTAGGATGCTTATTAGCAACTCTATTTTAAATTTATTTGATTATTTAGGAAAAATACATAATAGATCTAATTTTTTTAAAAATTATAATTATAATCTTAAATAATATCATTTTATTTAAAGAAAACCTAATTTAAAATTTAAAAATTTGCCTTAATTATTAATAAATGAACTTAAAAACTAATTATGTATTATAATATACTACATTTCAAATTTTATGTATTAACATTTGTTAATAAAGTAAATTTTTAAATTTTAAATTAAGTTTTAATTAAATAAAATAACATTATTTAAAGTTATAGTTAATAATTTATTAAAAGTCGAGATTTATATACACCATACTAAGGCTTATTTTATACAAAAACATAAAATTATTCGGAAATATGTTACCTTCCAGAGTACATTGTAGCAACATCTTGCACAAAAACATTAAGACAAGCTATTTTGGTTACAATTTAATGAAAATTTATCATTTGGTTTGTTGACAATTACGATACATGTTCTTAAATGAATAAATGCATCCATTTACTAATCATTTTCAAAAACATCATGAGCAAATCATTATGGTTACTTGCTCCTTGAACGGTAGATTTTCTAAACAAGACAGAACCTATTTTTGTAACGATTTGATGAATTATGAAACAATATTGTTTGTAATCCGGACGGATGAAACATTGCAAAGGAAACAACTCTTCAGAATAACCAGAGCTTTTAGTCTCGCAGGAGGAAGCTAAATTCTTGTGCAAAGATGAAAAGAACCACTGAAACCAAAGATTTTCAAGATGCCAATTTGGTGAACTTGGCTACAAAAAGTCCACTAGTCTGTGATGTTAAGGGATCAAAACGAAGGGTCTTAGGTATCTGCCCGCTCTTGCACGGCCAATTTCTGGATTCATTTATCTCTTGCAATTCTGCGTTACCAGAAGCAAAATATGATATCATAATGCGGTAATAAAAGATTCTGCCGACTAGGAGGACACAATTATCTCTAAAAATATAATCTTCAAACAAGCAAATAATGACACTCTGAATTTGAAGTGCTTGCCGATGGAAGCACCCTCTGTTTTCTCCATTGAAACAAAGAAAATTCATCAAATTAAGTTCGGAAAGATTTACTAGTGACTGCTATTTGTATTTTGTAGGGGCCAATTCCACATTTAACAGCATCTGAAAAGGCCTTTTTTTTTCTTGCCCTAAATATTTTGTTTCTCTCAACTCAAGGAGGAGAAATAGACTGAGTGTGAAAAAGAAAACAATAAATTTATGGCAAAAAGCAATTTATTGTTGCAAACATGAACAAAAACTTGAAAACGTGAAACTTTGAGCATGAGTTGGCCTACCTGCAGAGGCATTTTCGCTGAGAAACTGCTCTACTATATCTTCATTCTGAGCAACTGTCAAGCTAAAGAAGCAAAAAGGCAAGGAGTAAGAAACTATAAAAAAGAATGTTTGTTATTCTTTCATGTCTTTGTGTGTTATACTTTAACAATCAATAGGGTTCGCCAGTGAAAACCTGCAAGTGCTATAGACAAGTGTGCCCCCAACTTTCAGCAATCGAAAACCATTCCTTAACAGCTTTAGCTGTAGCCATAGAAATTTGGATTTTATGTCAAAAAGGAGAAAAAGAAGAATAAGGTGAAGATAATTGATGATATTTAGCCCATCATAGAGACAGACTAAAACCTCAAAATAAGCAAGTATTCCCTCACTGAAGGTAAAGTTAAACCATTAGAATCATCAACGACCATCGTATGAAAGGCTATGTGCTAATGTGAATTTTCTACCCTTAGGCCACACTACTTTAACAATTTGAAAGAAGTGGTCCTGGTATAATTTTCATGAGCATATCACAATTGACAAGTCAATAAGAAAATTCTAACAATAATAATGGAAAAACAACAGTCAGAATGAAAATCAACATTAAACATTTTTTAGAATATGTGTAGCTATAGGAACTCTGATCTAGTATTTTCTTCCATCACACTAAATGTTGCCCAAAATTCTCCATGATATAAGCTTCTCGGTTCAGTGGCAAGAAGAGCATATGCTATTGCTTCCATCAAACAAAGTTTCAAAGCAATGGTGAATCAGAAAACTTAACAGATGGCAGGTCAGTTACCTGAAGAAAAGTCAAGCTATCAGTTCTCTCAGCATCTAATACGCGGCGTTGAAGAGTTTTCCAGCCCCAGTGTTCAAACTTTTGTATATGTCTAATTGACCCATCATGAGTGCATTCTGCATCCACAAGGACCTGAAATATGTTAATCAGGTCATTAGCGTCCATAAAGAAAAAACATTTAACTTGCAGAAGCAGCTGATCTACAATTTCTATTCAATTATAAAAAGAGATATTTTTTACCTTGTCATACCCAGAACTTGAAGCTTCAGTATCAGATATGGTTTTGTATAGTTTGCTTTTACTTAGTCCAATTATACCAGAATGCTGCCCGTAAAAAATAAGTTCAGGATTTTGATTCAGTGCAACACCTTCCCTCACTTTAGCTGCTCTTTTCCTTTCTTTGTATGGTCTCCTATTTGTCCACTCACCAAATATATCTGCCTTCTCCTCAAATGTAGATTCAACTGTTTAATACTAGAAAGAATATCACACATCAAAGCAAAATAGACAAGTAGAGAGCCAAGAGAAATCTCCAAGGTCAGGGAATGAATATATGAAACTCAGATTTATTACATGAACTAGAAACTGAGTCCACCCTCTGAGGAACAAGGGCAAATGCTGTTCCATCAGCAACAAAAAGTCGGCATCGATCACCCAGAGAATATTTCTGCAGCATTGTTCTACAAGCAGCTAGACGATGTCTTGCAATATCAACACCAGTTACAGAACCAAAATCACCAAGAAGATCCAACATCATGCAAAGTTTAGCACCTGGAATTTCAATATTTATAATTAAGCATTAACTCACAACATCAAAGAAAAAGTAGAATTACAAGATAAGTGAGGATCTCAAAAACCACAAAATGAAGTCAATCATAAAGCTTATCCTTATACATCAAGTCTTTCCCAAAATATAACATTCTGTAGCTGGGAATATCCTTCTCTAAGCATTCACACTATGTGTTACTTGGTAGTTCCTCAATAGACAAGCCAATACAAATCTGTTTCTTGGACTCAAGCTTCAAAACTATATGTTTTACTGCCAACATAACACTTTCATATAACATATAACAATCCTGTTAAAGTTTTCTTAGCCAAATGGGGATGTTCAATTTGTGTAACCTCCAAACAGAAACTGCAAAGTATAATGATGCTAGGTATCTATCAACTCTTCACCTAAGGAAGTAGCATGATTTGAATATACCAGACAATTACCAAAATCATCAAAAAACAATCTATCACTTACCTGGAGCAGCACAGAGATCAAGAACATGATCTCCAACAGAGATGTTCAAAGCTGAGACAGCAGCACCAGAAGCTGCATCAATTCCATATATCTGTAAGAAATACCAAAAAAAAAAAAAAAACCCTTAAAAATGCTTAATCATCTATATAGAATTCTTTGGTTCCATCAATTTCTACAAAAACTCAAGAAGATTAAAACATGTCTTCTAACAATAACTGTAATCTACTTTCATCCTCACCTTTCCTTCCTGGTATGCCTTCGAGTTAGCAATCTGAACCTCAGGAGGAAGAGCATAAAAACCAGGTAACCAATCCACTTTCTCAAGCTTACAATTTATCTCAGCTTCAATTTCTTGAATTCGAGCTTCATAACCAGGTTTCAACCTTTCCAGAAACATTATCAAATAGATTAAGCAAACAAAAACAACAACTAAAACCAAAACACAATTCAACATTGTTTTCTCGACACAACAACATAGGATACCGAACATAACGCGGAGTCGATTCAGTTGCAGTATAGATAGAAGGGTCGAGTCCATTCTCTTCAAGAAATTGCAGGAATGAATCTGGCAAAGGTAGTTTCGAAGCTTCCTCCATCGGACAAACTACTGAGAAGTGAGAATTATCGTGACGGCGGAAGGCAGCCGAACACCGTTGGCCGCCCAAGGGGAGAATTCTCAGAGATGTGTCCACAGGTTCGTCAAAGTGCATTGTTCTATCGAGTAAAGAAACGACGCCTCTCTTCGGAAACGACACCGTAAAAGTCAGAGGGTACGGAAATTCCGATGACAAATTTGGTTTAAGGGAACAAAAACCCCCGAGGTTTTTTTTTTTATATAAGGGTAACGATTAGGAGGGTAGAATTGATAGAGTTAACATCTAAAGATTCGATTTGCAACTCATGTGAATAGGTCATCGACCTCAAAGAGATTCGCAGTCATCAGGTCGCTTGGTGGAGTTTAAAATCCCTAAGTTAATATAAGCTTAAAACATGACTTTTTTTTTTTTTTTTGAACAAGTTGTCAAGGGGCTGACTCAAAGCCCGCCCAAAAAAGAGGAGGAATACACCTCAAGCTGGTAGGCTGTCAGTTGACCCGAAGGACCAGGTGCATAACTTGTGTTTTTAAATTAGATCTTATATATATATATATATTTATTTATTTATCTTGATTGTGTAACGAGAAATAATTATTTCTCATCTTTTATTTCACTTCACCCGCATATCATGCGAGTTAAATTTAAAATTTCTTATTTCTAACGGAAGTATATGATTATTGAATTATTTAGTTCGTTGGCTAAATCTTTTATACTTAAACTTTTTAATTTGGTCTTTTAAATATTATATATGGGCTCTTGATTTAATCTTTAAATTAAAAAAAATTTTAAGTTAATTTAACTTTAATTTAGTCTTTTCATAAAAAAATAACTCATGTATCTTGTTATTAATATAATAAAGTAAGAGACACATTAATTACTTTTTAAGAAAGGACTAACTATTTGAAAACTTTAGGGATTAAATTAGAAATTTTTTTACTTTAGGAACCAAATCAAAGTCCATATAATGGTTGAGCAACCAAATTAAGAGTTTAACCAGCTTTTATTTAGAGCCTATTTATAATATTAAGGAATTTTTTAATATAACCCTAAGTTTCATTAAATGTAATATCTTTAATTAATTTTGTATAAATTTTTATACTATATATAATTAAAATAAAATATAAAATTAAAGTAAAATATAATATTTATACTTAAAATATGTGAAAAGATATGAATCTAATATAAAATTGTGTAAAATTAATTATAAAATTTATAATTAATAAAGTTTAACTTGTGTTTGAAGGATTATAAATTTTAGTATTATTTATATATATTAATTTAATATTAAATTATATTTATTTAATATTATATTATAATTATAAATTTATAATTTTATATAATATTATAATTATAATATTATTATTTAAAAAAATTCTTTTTTTCTCTAATTTGAATAAATAAATAATAAAATAAAGGATTTCTATCCCTTAGCTTTTCACTAATTTTTTTATAAAAATATATTTTTTAGTACATGTCATACTTTTTTTTTTAATTTGAATATAAAAAATATTAAAATATTTCAAACAAAATTATTAAAATTATTTTTTATATTTATTTATTAATAATATTTTAATAATTTTAATACTAAACTAAAAAAAATCTGTGCTAAAAAACACAACATCTTTTTGTTTTTTTTTTAATCAAATAAAACAATTTTCTCCTATGTCCTACCCCCTACGCTCACCCTCAAACTAATAGCGTAACCAAGTTCTGCCAATTGGAAACGACAGCGCATAAATTTTGGGAAAAACCTATTTTTAACCCTTTATCTTATTAGATTTATAGGTTTTAGTCTCTCATTTTATACTATGATACTTGTAACCCTTTATCTATTAGAATTAAAGAAAATAACCCTTCACTTATAACATTTTGTTAGTTATATTAGTTGATTATTAACTCTATTAACTGACTGTTAGTTAATAAAAATCTATTTTCAACTAATATAGTTAATAGTTAGTTAACAAAATTATTTTATTAACTAACTGTTAACTCTATTAACTAACTGTTAACTCTATTAATTGATTATTAATTAATAAAAATTTACTTTTAACTAACAAAGTTAACAATCAATTAATAAAACTAATAAAATATTATAAAGCGAATGCTATTTGAGTTAAAAGTATTATAGTATAAAATGAGGAGCTAAAACCTATAAACCTAGTAAGATAAAGGGCCAAAAGTAAATTTTTGCCATAAATTTCCAAGTTCCTGCCTGCTCAAGACTCTTCGCCCACAAACTGTTCTGTTAACCAGGGAATCCCAAGAAGTCCAGAGAAAAAGAAGAAATGAGAGAAGCTCTGCTCCGATTCTCTTCAGTACTATTCTTCCTTCATCTGATTGAATTCGCCTCCGCTACCGTTCTCTTGAGGCCCTACTCCGCCGTCTTCCCCGACCTTCCCGCCAAATTCGGTAAAATTTTAGCTTTCCAGGTCTATCCTGCTCTGCTGCTCACTTTACAGGGCAAAATTAAATATGAAATATACCAACGAAAGTTTCGAGTTAATCTGTGTTCTACTCTGACCTAGCACTTAACAGTAATGTTAAAGATTCGAACTTGAAGCGTTGTTAATGTTTTAATCCGTGGTTTTAGGTCGCAATTTGAACAGTTCGGGCATATGTGGAGCTCTGGTGGTGGTAGATCCTGAGAATGCTTGTTCTTCGCTGCGTAATGGAGTGAGATCCAACAGAACGGACCAGAAAAGGTTCGCGTTGATAGTTAGAGGCGATTGTGCATTCGAGGAGAAAATTCGGAATGCGCAGGATGGAGGTTTTGATGCTGCAATTGTTTATGATGATAGAAACAGAGGCAGTTTGGTTTACAGTGAGTAGTCCCAATCTTCCCCCTTAAGATTCAATCAGTAATGTAATTGAAAATTTTTTCATACTTTAGTTGAAGAAGCAAGATTAGGTTTTTTAAATTGAGAAAAATGGAGTCTTGTAATTTATTTACATGTTTTGGGTTGTTTATATCAAATTATTTGAGGTATCTTTTGTGAGCAGTGATGGTAGACCCCAAGGAGATAACGGTGCATGCAGTTTTTGTTTCAAAGGCAGCTGGTGAGTTTTTGAAGGAGTATGCTAATGGAGAAGAAGGTGAATGCTGCATTTTTCCACCTTATAATGGGAGAGCATGGACGGTGTTGGCCATATATTTTATCACAGTTCTTGCTATAACAGTTTTCCTTGTGATAACCTTTTTAACTCCACGAAATTGGTTGAATTGGCATGGAAGAGATCATTTTTGTCGAAGTGTGGATAGTAGGATGGTGGAACGTCTTCCCCGCTTTGCATTCAACTCTGCCCATTTTAGTCAAAACCGCATTGGAGAAACTTGTGCAATTTGCCTTGAGGACTACAAGGATGGGGAAGTTGTTAAAGTTCTCCCCTGTCAACATGGTAGGATTTTCTGTCCTATGTTCAATATCAAGCCTTTGACTTTATATAGTTCTGGTGCATACAGCTTGATGATGCTCTAACAGGGTTTTACCCAGACTATGCGAGGGAAAGTCTTTGCTGTTAAAGACTAGTTTGATTTTCATGTGTAGGTGGGGACTGCGGGCTGCAGCATTCTAGCTAGATGAAAGTTATAGTTGTGTGATTTGCTTATGTTTTTGCCGAAGCTGAACTTGCATGCATGTTACATACAGCTTTATTTTTCTATTTGAAATATTAGAAAGCTTTATCATGATCATCAATTGTCAGTATACAAAGAAATAGGCTAGTCGTTTTGGGCCTCTGGCACTACTATTTTTTTGTCTCCTAAACAAATTCAATGCTCTTTTTATTCAATAGTGAGGATGTATACTCAAAAGTTGCTACTTCCTATAATTCTGTTGTTGGATTGATCGTAGAAAAGCAGATGTTTGGTGTTATACGCAGATAAATTTCATTCTTAAATCTTTCAATTAGCATCCCGTTTCTGTCTAACATTCAGTATTTCACTGTTTCTGGATAGCACTTAATTAATACCGTGCTACTTGGTAGATTTTCATTCAGGATGTGTGGACTCATGGCTGACTAAGTGGGGGACATTCTGCCCAGTATGTAAACTCGATATGACATCACAATTAGCATGTTCTGAGGTTTGTAAGCTAAGGCCACTGTTGAACTTTTTGCTTTTGATGTCACATATTTATCCTTTCCTGTTGAATAATTCACTGCTGGTGGTAAATCTTGTAGACTGAATTCCATCTAATTTCTGGTTCATGGTTTCTGTGCTTACCTTTGGCAGTTCTTTTACCAAGCATTTCCACATAACTTGATTATGAAAATTGAGTACAAATTTCTAGGTTTAATCAATAATATTTGTGAAATTTGAAAATAACTTTTCGCACAGTTTGGTAGCTGATTGTGCATGAGACATTGATGCAAATCAGTGATCAACAAGCACAAAACTGACCTTTTCTCTTTCCTTTAAGAGTAATTAAGTCTTAAGAATCCTGCATTTGGCTTAAAATTTGAGCAAGGATTATGTTTTTCCTGAAAAGTATGTCCCTATGCATAATTCTAATGCCTGAGGCAGTTAACTGTAAGTTTTCATGCTTGGATTTGAGGCTGAATCAAGGTTGATGATTCTAAATTTTACCAATCTGATATCATAGGAAGTCTTGTCTTCTAAGTTGTGAGTTGTTGATTTTGTGTTATACAGTAGCTGGGTCAAAATGTGCCTGCTGTATAGTGCATGTGATCAGTGCAACCCGTATTCCCACATAAACCTCTTGTTGATTTTGTGTTATATGGTTATATATAATTGGTGATAGCCCTTGCTTAAATACTCCATTAATTGCCAATCATTTTAGCTTCTCCCAGATTTCAAAATTATAAATGTTAAACTAATGATCAAATATCATTATCGTCTTGTGGCAGGTCAAGAGGGCAATGCAGCATTAGCGTCAGTAATTAAGAACCACCATTCGACTTGCCTTTAAGTGCAGGTATGAAGTTAAAATCTCCCTCAAGAAAATTTGATTAATTTTTTTTTTTTGCAGTTTATCTATGAAAAACTATTAGAGTCTATCAGGGGAAAAGGTAACTAAAAGGAGGCAGCTCAATGGCCTTCTGGAGCATGAGAAGGAGTAAACAAATTGATTTCAGTTCAACTTCTATTAAAGTTTTTTAGACTTGATTTAGATGGGTAGCCATTTTGAAGCTTTGAATTCTAGCCCAAGGTTTGTTCTATTACAGGTTCTTTTTACCACAAACTGACTGAATTTTTTTCCATGTTTCAGTATGCTATCTGCTCCCTAAGGGCATCCACTGTAGAATATATTTTCTATTCCCTGCACTAGATGGACACACGTCTGATATTTATTTTGTCTTCTCGTCTCATAGACCCAGAAAAGGGGGTCCAGGATAATGCTGAGGTAGGTTTTGATGTGTGAAAGTCACCAATTGCTCCTAGCAACAGTCTCCAACAAAGTTCCTTCAAACTAAACTAATCAGTTGAGCACCATCTAAATTATTGGGGGAAAATCTGCCAATGATAAAACCCCATTTGAAACCCTTGTAGATAGCTGCTACTTAGCTGAGTTAAATTGGGATGAAAATTCTCAAGCCTTGTGATGTATATATGTAGCACTTAGTTCAACATTAAAGGTTGACTATTTTAAAATTCATGATTTATTGGCCAAATTTGTTATTAAGACTGTACATGCTCATTTACTGCATGAATCCAGCCTCCTCTGATACATCATAGGGGATGGTTGTTGACTCTGAAACTTTGCTCTCTGTGAAGGAGATTACATAGGCATGCAATCAGCAGCGAAAATGAACCAAAAAAATTTATTTTCTACTAAACTGAGTAAATCATTTTCCCAGAGGGTGCTTCTGACAAATTGAGTAAAGTTTGAGGGCATGCATAACTTAAAAGGACCCCAAAAGCCGTAACTGAACCCATTATTTACCGGCGGTGCGACTTACGTGGTGAGCTCCAATAGAAATGGCTGTTGGTTGAGACATCGCTTTCACTGAAGGGAACATGGTGTTGCGTTGGAAAGTCCTTATCTTTATTTAAAGCATGCCTTGGGAAACACACGGCTACATTCAGGAGTGCCTGCTCGGAGGGGATTACTGCATCATCCTCCACCGAAGTTTCAAATCTAATCTTCAGCTTGTTTTTGTGCAAATCAAAGGAAAACAGCCACCAGATCAGAAGAAACTGCGGCAGTGCGGCTAGCAAGAGTCTGCAGAGCGAATTGTATATCAAAACCATGGGTTCTGTGGAAAATTGGTGACTGACTGCCGTCTTTTGGTTTTTTACAACGTTGTAACTACTAACTGCAAAAATTGACATGGGTGTTGTGTTCCCCTGTGGGTTTCTGTTTCTTTTCTTCTCTATTTTTTTGGTTGTAGTTCTGGATCAGAATCAGAAGTGGTTACCATTGACTTTCATCAAGCTAAGAATCTGATTGATTCAGGTTATGGGTATCTTGATGTTAGGTACACAATAAACCTTCTTTACTCCATGGAAATTTCCCTATCTTTCCCCCTTTATTTGGCTAGTATAATTGAGGTTTTTCAGAATCCATTTCTGATAATAGGACAGTCGAAGAATACAGGAAGGGACATGTTTCTGCAGAAAAGATCTTCAATATTCCTTACATGTTCAACACACCAGCAGGTCTCACTTTTGTTTCTTACAAAACATACATGCTTTTTTCTGTTCTGTATCTGTGCCTCTGAAGGACTAATATCTGTGCCTCCGAAGGACTAATGGAAAAGTATAATTTGAACTTGGGCTTCAGGAAGGGTGAAAAATCCTGAGTTCTTGAAGGAGGTTTCATCTCTCTGCAATGAAGACGATCTTCTTATTGTGGTAATCATTTTTTTGCTTCAATCAATGAATAATCCATTTGCATAATTTGTCGGATAATTTCATTACAGGGCTGTCAAAGTGGAGTGAGATCCCTCTATGCAACCGCTGATCTTCTAACAATTGTAAGTTCATTCAATGAAATTTGTTTCTTGAGATTGTCATGTCTGTTTTATTTATGAAGTTAAAAACTGCAGGGTTTTAAGAATGTAAGCAACATGGGAGGGGGTTACCTTGCCTGGGTGGGGAATGGGTTCCCTGTAAAGATGGAGGAGATTCATGTTCCTGGAAAGCTGGAAGAGAAGCCAAAACAAGAGATGAAGGTGATTCCTGTTCCTGCAAATGCGGAGGAGAAGCCAAAACAAGAGAATCTTGAGATTCCAGTTCCTGTAAAGGTGGAGGAGAATCCAAAACAGGAGAACGGCGAGATTGCTGTTCCTGTAACCCTGGAGGAGAATCCAAAACAAGAGCCTTGAGCTCTGATCATTTAATGATGTGTATTTATCTACATAATCAACGGTGTTATAATTGTATTGCCAGAAAATAAAAAGTTATGAAGCCTATTTACCATTTTATCACCAGAAATCCATCAAGAAGATCTTCCGTTGATCGGACTTCACATTAGCAAAACAGGGCTCCGCCGCTCCCACGTTATTTATCCTCTCGGGCTTAAAAAGAAGTATAGGACTTTAAATGAAACTTAATATAACCATAAGGGTCTTTTGTGTTATTTTTGCATAATACAAAACCGAACTGTAAGTATATCTCTCCACGTCGCGGGGACCCACCGGGAAACGTAGTCGTGGCGTTTTCTGATTGGTTCAGAAGAATTATCTATCTTACGCCACAGCGTGCAGAAAAGAATCCTGTGTTTCAACTTAAGCTCATTACCTGTTTCAGTTGCAGACTTCCAGGTCTTCGAACTATCTTTCTCGATTCTTCCTTTCTCTTCACCATGGTACTCGAGGTAAAATTCGATTCCGAATTACTTCTCATCTGCTGCTATTAGTTAGAGTTCCAACTCCCTTCCGATTGAATAATTAGTTCATTTGCAGGCGACAATGATCTGTATTGATAACTCGGAGTGGATGCGAAATGGAGATTACGCTCCTTCTAGGTTTCAAGCTCAAGCCGACGCTGTTAATCTTATTTGCGGAGCTAAAACGCAGGTCTGTCGTGAATTTTGGCTGTTATTCGTGTTTCTGATTTTTATTATGTTTTTGAACGTCTGGTTCTAGTAGAATTCTGCTACTTTTTTAGAATTTTTTTTTTTTTTTTTTTTTTGCTGGAACTTGGAAGTGGTTGAATTGAGTTTGAGGCGTGTGTTTCATGTTTTGTTTACAGTCTAATCCGGAGAATACGGTCGGAATTCTAACAATGGCAGGGAAAGGGGTTCGTGTCTTGGTTACTCCAACCAGCGACCTTGGCAAGATCTTAGCTTGCATGCATGGTTAGTTTAAAGTTGCTTGCTTTCAGCTTATTTTGCATTTTTCTTCTTCACTTTGTTTGATGAAGATTAATACTTAACTGATGTTGCCCGGAGCATGCTTGCAAACAATTAAGCATTTCTAACATTTTTAGCATGTGTGTCTCATAGCATGCTGGAAGTTAGTTTCTAAATGCCAAATTTTTGTTTCCGTTTTTTTTTTTTTTTGCTCTTTTGAGGCTGTTAGTTGTCAACTTAAGTGAACTGTTACCATATCTAGAACTCATGCTTTTAGGTAAAGAGTTGACGGTATAAAATCTTTTTTTTTTAGTTTTTAATATTAATTTAATAGTAATTCTTTATTTCTATATATTAAATGTGCTGAGATACTCTTTGACTCCTTCAATTTAGGCTTAGAAATAGGTGGTGAGATGAACCTTGCAGCTGGGATCCAGGTGGCTCAGTTGGCTCTTAAGCATCGCCAAAATAAAAAGCAGCAACAAAGAATTATTGTCTTCGCTGGAAGGTGTGTGTTGTTAACTTTTGTATCAATTCAATGGTATTCTTCTTATTATTATTTTTTTTCAATGACATTGACATACTGTGAGTACTTTCAGTCCTGTCAAACATGACAAGAAGTTATTGGAGATGATAGGAAGGAAGTTGAAAAAGAATAGTGTAGCACTTGATATTGTCAATTTTGGTGAAGATGATGGAAAAACAGAGAAGTTGGAAGCACTTCTGGCTGCTGTAAATAATAATGAAACCAGCCACATTGTTCATATTCCTACCGGTGCTAGTGCTCTTTCCGATGTGCTTATAAGGTATGCTGTTTGGTGTTCTTCTAGTAACCATATGCTGACAACTGATGCATTATAGTTCTGTTACTGAAGCAAGATATTCCTCTCATTGCAGTACTCCCATCTTCACTGGGGATGGAGAAGGTGGAAGTGGTTTTGCAGCAGCCGCAGCTGCAGCGGCTGCTGGGGGTGTGTCTGGTTTTGAGTTTGGTGTGGATCCGAACTTAGATCCTGAACTAGCCCTTGCTCTTAGAGTTTCAATGGAAGAGGAGAGGGCCAGGCAAGAGGCTGCTGCTAAAAAGGCTGCAGAGGAGGCTGCTAAACAGGAAAAGGGAGGTGAACAGCAGTCTAGTTCACAGGATGCAACCATGACGGAACAAACCAGTGCTGCAACTTCCGAAGCGGACAAGAGAAATGATTTAACAGTTAGTGTTGTTCGCTTCCAATCAGATATTGCTACTTTATTAACAATGCTCCTTGATATGCATTGATTGTAAATGCTCTCTATCCTCTCATGTTGCTTGTACTTCTAGCCTTGAGTTGTTATTTTGTTAACAGGATGAGGAGAATGCTCTACTACAACAAGCCCTTGCAATGTCCATGGATGACCCTTCCTCTAGCCCGGAATTACGGGACGCTGATATGTCAGATGCAGCTGCAGATGATCCAGAGCTGGCACTAGGTAAGTCTTACGGTTAAGCTTATCTCTCCATTTTTTTTTTTTTTATTGGGTTGGATGTAGTAGCTTCTTTTAATACATAAAATCCTTGCTTGTAAAAAGAGGTCAGTCGCGTAGATGATCTACAAACCAACATTTTTTTTTTTAGCCTTTTGAAGTTAATATTGAATGACAGACAAGGAATGTCCCTGACTCATTTTGCTGGTTAAAATAGATACCATGAATGAATAATTTCTCTGGAACTGAACTTGCAGATACATGCATGCAGGATGTAAACGTTCTTAAAATCCAAGGAATGCATATCAAAATTCCTTATATATATTTAAAATTCCAAGCCTTCCTATTTCAAAAAAGTTGTTCTTTTGCCATATAAGCTAATTTTTTTCCAATCCTTGCAGCTCTTCAACTATCTGTGCAGGACAGCACAAAAGATTCAAGTCAGGAGGATGTGAGTAAGTTGTTGTCTGACCAGTCCTTTGTATCCTCCATTCTTTCCTCGGTATGTCTTCTGTGCATTTATATCTATTTTCATTTTTCCGCTAAGCCCTGTGAAGACAATGAATGATAACCTAGTCTGGCTTTGCATGTAATAATATTTACCGTTTCCTCAGCTTCCAGGGGTAGATCCAAATGATCCTTCAGTTAAGGAGCTGCTTGCTTCAATGCAAAGCCAGTCAGAGGTATAGGATAAATAAAATAAAATGGATTGCATTTACTTAAATGATCTTGGCGTCATTATTAGCCAACATATCATCTTAGATTTACTTATCTTTTGTCTTTCATGTTTTCTGATGAGATTGTGATGTTGTAGTCCCAGCAGAAGCAGAATGAAGACAAGGCATCCAAGGAGGAAGAGAAGTGACAAGTCTCCAGCATCGCTTTTCCTATTGTCAGGTTCTGATTGTGAGTTCAGCCATTTCGTTATATTGTTATTTTATTCCTGGATGCTTCCAATATGCCCTTAGCAACCTCATGTATAATATTTAATCATTTAGTGATTGGCATCTGGTTGTTGGTTGTTATCAATTTTTGATTTATTCATTGTGCAGATGGGACAAGCTCCTTTCAGTGGACCAGTGGCTATGAATGAATGACATACGGATGATGTTTATTTATTTTCTCTGAAAGGGTTTGGAATATATTATGGATAAAAAAATCACAATATTGTAATGTATTCCATCGATGTTTCTAACTGGTTATACGGTCTTGAAATTGAGCTTTGTCGCTGATTTTATTTGGGCAGTGTTATATATTGTGGATAATGATTCTGTTCCTGTAATAGTGCAAGATTAGAGTAATGATCTAGTTCCTGTTAATTCTCATTTATTGCCTCAGGTATTGTCAATCATCATGTATTCATGGTCTTTGCTTCAGAGGTTCAAGACTTACCCATGAAATGCATGCAAGTGAAAGAGAAAAAAAATCACCAGGTTATTTTTAAGATAGATTTTTCTGTACATGAAAGTGCGAGAAAATACTTGTTTTCTGACACCAATGTTCAAACAGGTACTATACTTCAACTCCTCTTCTTGCGTTCACCTCTGAATCTGTCTCCATTCCCTATTGTTGCTTGATGAGCCTAGTCATGTCTATTAAATTCTTGTGCACATTCTTTGTCAAGCCACCCAGGCCAATGGAATGGAAGAAATTAATGGAAAACCGCATATTGCAAAATCAGAAAGCCTCTTGTGCAGTCTCCCAGATGTCTGCTAGTTCCTGGAAGAGGATCTTGATTATTATCCAGGATGAAGAGGCGTTGTCCTCATCAGTCAGGCGTATGTAGCCCAATACATGCCAAGGCATAATATTTGCAGCAGGTAAATGAGCAAAAAATAAAAACTCTCCACATTGCGTAATTTGGTTGTGTGAAGCTGGTGAATTATGGACTATTGCTGCTTGGCCGACATTTCTCGAAGTCCCGAGAGCAGCATGATGCAAACTCCATCCCTTGTCCTGGCTCAAGCTTAACATAATGGTCAGGTAGATATTCCTTCAAAGATATAATGATCAGGTGGATATTCCCTCAAAGACTTGCAATATCTGTCTTCCAACTCTGATTCTTTAAACAACCATATTTATAAGGTGGGGATGTATAAGGAAATAATAATTAATTAAAAATCTTCTTATTAATAACATTATAATCAATATCAAATTCTTAAAATTAATCAATTGATAAGTTGATTTTACATAATTTGATCAATCTTTATAATGGTAAGATATTCAAAGATGTTAATCGAGTGTCTAATTTGAAAAAAAAAATTACAAATGAAATCTTATTCAACTTTGCTTTGATATCATGAAAAAAGTTATAATATAGTTAAAAATCTTATAGTAATAACATGAATAAAATAAAAAGTTTTGCATGTTTATTTCTCTTTATTTTTTTTTTCTTACATATAAATGATTTTATTTATAGGATGAGGGATGTATAACATAAGAAAATAATAATTAATTAAAAAAAATTTATTAATGAAATTATAATTAATATCAAATTCTTAAAATCAATTAATTAATAAATTGATTTATCATGATTTGATTAATTTTCATAATAATATGATATTTTTTCTTTCTATAATTAGATTTTATTATTATTATTTTTTATATTAAAATTAATCATATTATAATTTTATTCTCTTTAATGCCATCATCTGAGGTGAAGAAGATGACATGGAAAGTTGACCAGGCAACGGACCTCCCCCTCCCCCGTCAGAGGTGTTCTCGTAAACAATTCAACTCCAGCGCGCTTGGGTCATGGTGATCAATGAATATCTAACATGATAAGATAAAAAATAAAAAGTAATTACTTTTTATTATATAATTAAAATAAAATACATTGTGTAATTAAGATAATTAATAAATAAATAATAAAAATAAAAAGGGAAACGTTTATAACGGTAATAGCGCGGGAAGTTCGCAGAGAGTGTGTAATCAGGCAGAATCTCACGTGTCCTCACGCTCCCTTTCCTTCTACCATACTGAGAGGCCTTCCCTCATTATTCCTTCCTTGTCTTTCGTTTCCTCTCCTCGACCACGGCAATGGCTTCTCCAAACCCTAATCAGAAATCGTCCCTCTATCCAGAGGTGATCCAATCAAACCCCGAGGCATCGTATCAGCCGTCTTCCCCTGGGAACATCTACCCTACCATTGACATGCGTGACCTCGTCGAAAACCTATTCCCCGAACCCCCTGTGATTTCCGGCAACCGCAACTACCCTGATGATGATGTGCATGTGCCGTCTGCGCCACCGTTGGCCACGGAGGAGGTCCTGATCAAGATATCCGGTGCCATTCTCCATCTGATTGATAAATCCTACAGCGTGGAGCTCGCTTACGGTGATTTTACCGTTCTCCGACTCTGTCAGGGGGGAAATCTCGTGGCTGTGCTTGCCCGTGTCGGGGATGAAATCCAGTGGCCTTTAACAAAAGATGGAACCGCTGTTAGACTGGACGAATGCCACTATTTCTTCTCTCTTCGCTTCCCTAGTAGTGAAGAAGATGAAGATGATAAATCTAAGAAAAAGGGGGGTTCTCGCCCGGGCTTAGATGAGAATTTGCTTAATTATGGTTTGACGATCGCGTCTAAAGGACAAGAAGCATTGTTGAGAGAACTGGACGGTGTATTGCAGGGTTATAGCTGTTTTTCAGAGCAGAAGGTGAAGGAGAAGGGGGAAGAGGTGCTGGATGGGGCTGTGGCTGCAGCAAGGGATACTGCCCCCGCAGATTTGAAATCAGGGAAGACGAAGGAAGTGATGGAGGAGAGATGTGCGGCTTACTGGACAACATTGGCACCCAATGTGGAGGATTACAGTGGGACTGCATCCAAGTTGATTGCAGCAGGGTCCGGGCAGCTTATTAAGGGGATATTGTGGTGTGGGGATGTGACTGTGGACAGGTTGAAGTGGGGAAATGAGGTGCTAAAGGAGAGGATGACTCCTGGTGAGAATGTAGAGATTTGCCCGGAGACATTGAGGAGGATACAGAGGTAATAAAATTATGTTTCTTGGTCTGGAGTTTACTTTCTGATTTGGTTTGTTTAATCTTCTCATGCATCTTCTCTACCTTGTTAGTCTATGTCTTTGATCCATGTTAGTGTTCCACCATGTTTAAATAGATTGCCATAGAAGGTGAATCTATATCCCAAATATGACATGAAGATCATTTTTATGGGTGAATTTTTAAACAATTAAAATTTCATCATGTTTGATAAAGAGAAGCCATGTTTTGTGTTTTGAAGAGCCTAGCAGGTAATATATATTGCAGAATGGCAGCAAGACTATTGTTGTCGATAAAATTTGTAAATGGTGAGAGTGCTGTGGCGAACCTGAAGGCTGCAGGACAGTGGCATGATAATATGTTGAAGTAGCTATTTGTGAGGGAGGGGAAAATTTTTTCATTTTTACCAATATATCATCTGCTTCTGTGTTAAATCCTTGTTATGACTATTCCTTTTGATACCATGTTTGAAAACAATGAGAAGTTTCAATTAGCAAAAGCAAATTTGTTGGAATTTCTGTTCTAGTTTCAAGCAAGACATCATAATTTTTGGTTTGACTATTTATATAGGGTTAAAAGGATTACACAAACAACGGAGAAAGTGGCAAATGGCGTTCTGTCTGGAGTTGTGAAAGTTTCTGGAATTTTTTCAAGTAAACTTGCGAACTCAAAGGCGGGAAAGAAATTTTTTGGTCTCCTACCAGGGGAAATGATTCTTGCAACCCTGGATGGATTCAGTATGTTATCATTTTTAGTTCTTGAGTAAATGCATAATGTTTGTGCTTCACTCCATCCCACAACTCCCTCTTTTTTCAGAGTTAAAATATTCAATAGTTGCAAGGACTCTTCATCATAATTTCTGTTCTTTGCATACCTTGAACCAGTGCTGCTTGAATAGAACTGCCCTCTTCTGTATTCAGTATGATTGAATTATGGTATCATCATAGGCAGGTTCTTACACCTCAGGTGCCTCTTCTCCAAACTCATAATAAACAGGTTCTGATGACCACAGTTCCAATACACCCTGTGCCACTTGGTTAGCCGTTAGTGCCTAGTCAGTTATATATTCCTGTTGAGTTTGCATAATGGGACTTGTTTACATTTTCTTATTGGGACAATATTTCTGGAACTGTTTTTATACACTGTTAATGGTGGCCACTTCCTAAGGCTTGAGTTGTGAGTTATTTTGTTTATTTAGGCAACATCTTTCTCTGTTTCTCAGTGAATTCATGGATATTTTATAACAGGGCCCATCATTCTATTCCTAATTTTCGTCATAGAACTTCTATGATCTCATATTGGCGTGTTTGTTGCTTCTCACTTGTTATTATTAAAACGGTTTCTCAGTTTTAATTTTGGGTTGATTTTTTTCTCGTTTCCTTAAGTTGTTTTGTTTCTTGCGTAAACAATAGGCAAAGTATGCGATGCTGCTGAAGTAGCTGGAAAAAATGTGATGGCAACATCTTCCACGGTGACTACTGATCTTGTCACCCACAGGTATTCTTCATTGGATGTGTTTAACAGATGTTGAATTTTGAGCAACATGGAGGGAAATAAAAGGGTTTATGAAGTAACTTTCTATTTGAATACTAATTTATATAGTATACCCTGCAGATATGGGGACAAAGCCGCTGAGGCTACAAGTGAAGGGCTTGATGCTGCAGGGCATGCCGTAGGGACTGCATGGATTGCATTTAAGGTCCGACAGGCACTTAATCCCAAAAGTGTGTTAAAACCAAGCTCGCTGGCTAAGGCTTCAGTAAAGGCAGCTGCTGCTGAGTATAAGGCCAAGAATTCCAAGTAATTTCTAGCCTGCTACAGCAAATCAAGCGAAGTAGAGATCTAGAATCTAGTATTATTTGTTCACTTCCAAAGCATCATGAGTGATTAATACCAGAGTTATTTGTTTGTAGATACTGATGTTAGACAAGTGATATATTGCTTGTAACATTTCCTTTCTTAATCTCCATCGAGACATTTTTTCATTCATGGCAGGAATTTGAAAACTAATTTGTCTCTTTCACTTGATCCTAACCATTGGTCTATATATTATAGTTGTAGCAATTAGAATTGGCATTGCCTTGCAGGTATCATGATTCATAAGCATTGAAATGGAAGGCAGTCCTTTTCTGCAGAAAGTGGAATTCTAAAGATCTATGCAAGCAAAAACTTGCACTTTAGTGATGGTGCTTTCATTTTCCTCTCTATTTATTTATCAAATATTGGCTGTAAAGTTGGTTAAACATCATAGTCATCCTAGGTTTCTCCTACCTATCCACTACAGTTGTAGTAGCATGATGACAAACATCTAATTTGTTAGGTATGTTATTTTATGCCTCTCATTTTTTTTCATTGTCAATTCACTGTATTAGACACTATTTTCCACAAAACGACAACCGTGCTTCATTCATTTGCTTTATGAAAGCAAGAAGTATCCCCTTGAGACTGTATTCCTGATCTTTTGTGGGTGATCCTGCCCGTTCAGGCTTATGCCGTTTCTAGATGTGACAATTTATGGACAGGAGACTTTAGGAATTGAAAAATTCAAACATGAAATCCGTTAAGATCTCAACCTGTCCCTTCTCTACAGGATCAAAGTGGCAAAATTGAGAGTTACATTCCTTCACTATTAGTTTTTTTCTTCTTGTTCTTGACTGAAGAGTCTTCCATATTAGCATTTTTTTTGGGTTAATGGTTAAGGCGTCTACGAGTCAGCTGAATCTAAAGATTAATCTCTTTTATCATAAATGAATTTATGAAAAATTATCTCTTTGTTAACCTAATCAAGAGGAAGCAAAATCTCATACCAACTAAGCTAACATGGGAAAATAAAATGTTTAACTATTTTCCCTTATCACATTAGTCATGGTCTTTGGCCCTTTGCTCAGCATTCTTTTTTGACATTTGTGAAACATCAATTCCTGATGCTGGACCCCAACCCATTGCAGGCCACATCCAGATGCCAAATAAGATAATTTGTGGATGGTGGACCTCACAGCCCTCCAGAGATGGCCATGCGGACACCACATTACGTCCTTAAGCTCAGCACAGCATTTGTGCAATAATGGAGCACCAATCTGAATTCCCAACCAGAAAGGTTTTTTGATTTTGATGTGTTTGTTTAATTGCTTCCTTTAAATCTGCACCACTATCTCACAAATGCCCACATCTCTATCTTTTTTTTTTTTTTTTTTATCTTTTCTAGTCCAAGTAACGAATCAAATACCCTATCTTCTTAAAAACCCACCATAACATGCCCCCATGACCTTTCGCTGCGGTAATCTCACCAATTGATTTTCTTGTCTGATTCCCGTTAAATTTTCTTCTTTCCCCAAACTTATATCTCTTGATGATTGAGCATGGAATGATTCCCACATATATTGATAGTAAAGGGTAGTTGTGCCTTCTAAATATGAATCAACCCATTCCTATCTTACTATAAGATTTACAAATCAAAACAGACAATACCTTATAGTTATTATGTAGCTAATTCTTGATATCAAACACTTGATTTTCAATTTGTTCAAGAGATTCTTATACCCCCATCAAAATCTGCAACCATAACATTCAGTTTTCCTCTTTACCAACATTGTTAGATGGATCCATGAAAACTATCCTATGGAGATCAAAATTTTGCGAATATGCATGTAATCACACATATAAAATGATCACAACAATCATTATCAACCATCTTCATTACCCTGCCTCCCTCCCTTTCTCTCTAGAAGAAAGAAAGTGAAAAAAAAAAAAAAATTTCTTGTCCAAAATTACACACATTGATAAACACATGTATAATGAGGATGTCATGCGCCACTAACTAGTTATTGTTTTTGGTAAGAACAAAGAAAATGGAAGATCTATTGTTTCTTAATTTGTCTCATCCTTTGAGTGATGCGATAAGAATGAAAAAGCATGGAAATCTATTGGCACCACATCATGTTTGTTTACAGTAGAGCAGATGAAGTGGTAGGTTAATTAATTTGGTAAGGCAACCTTATAAACAGTAGAGTTGAGATGGATGGATTAGTGAGGTGGAGTCACTAAAGCCGTGTTCTAGAGGATAGACTTTTAGTGCACGCCCATTTACCTTTGTGTTTTTATTAATCTTCAGCCCCCACCTCCAAATTAGCCTTCTAAATGCATTGGACTATTTTTAGGGGTCAACAACCCACTAAGCCTAGATGTGATATCACCATCCTCTTCTCATTTTTGGATTTTGTTTTTTTAAGGGATAGTTAGAGTGTGATTATAACCATCTATTATTTTATTAAGATTATTTACTTTTATTTAATATAACTATTAAAAATAGTTGATAAAATAAATTATAGTTACTCTTTAGCATATTGAAAGTAGTTTATAGGATATTTTAAACATCATAATCAACAGTTTAAGAAAAAATTACAAATAAATAATATTAACAACCATTTAAGAAAAGGTGTAGATAAAAATACTAACTTTACAATTTTTTATATTCAAAGATGCAAACTTTTCTAGTTTCTAGTTAAGACAATAAATTTTTAATTTTTTTTATTTAATGATGTTAACTTTGGTTTTTTTTTATTTATAAATGCTAATTCAACATTTTTGCTATTTAAGAATATCAACTTTGGGTTTGCTATTTCGGTATCACCATCCAATTAATTATTAAATAGTAAAAAATGCAAAATTGTCATCATTGAAAAGAAAAAATTGAAAGATTACTACCTTAATTAGAAATGGACAAAATTGACATCTCTAAATAAAAAAAAATTACAAAGTTGACATCCTTAATTTGCACCTTTTCTCTAAATATCAGTAAAACTAACCAATTTAAATGACATTAATAAAATAGTGGGTGATCATAACTAAATCAGAACAGTTAATATCAATGCTCTTCATTTATTTTAAAGTATCATTTACAGTGATGTTATCACACCCTTAATTACTAATGTCATACTTTTTAATTTTAATTGATTATTATATCTTTTAATTTATTAAGACACAAAAAATATATAATTTTAAAAAAATATATAATATAAAAATATAATAAGTAATTATACTAAAAAAATATTATATTAATTATTTAAGGTACTATAATATCCACCCATCATTCGGTTTCAACTTTTCAGGGAGACTTGAGCTGAAATGGGAGTACTGGCGTTGGACGTTCACCTCATTCTTGACCTCACAGGCAAGCAAAGAGGATTCAGTAATCATAACACGCCGAAAGGCCCTTTTGAATTACATAAGAATTGGAAGCCAGAGTCAGTCATGCACCCAACTTGGTCTGCAATCATGCGCGAGTTAAGTCGGTGTGACTTTGAAGGTTTGTTGTCCATCTATCAAGTAACAGTACCACCCACGTTATCATCAATCTTGTGTTTCTTCTTAAACGTTCAATAAGTCCTGAAAAAATATAAAAAAATTGCTACACAAAACTTGCTGAAAATGGCCTAATTGATTTGTCTTTGTATTTTTCCATGGCAGGAAAAAAGTAAATTAAGTTTCCACATTATCTTTGAAGGAGAATGTTCTAAAGAAATAGTTTTATAATGACAGGATAAGCTTTGGTGTTTTTTTTTTCGAAAAAACTTGAATGGCACTAGTACCATTATAAGGTGCATGGTGTGGCCCAATATAAGCCAGTTTAATGAGAAATTTCCAGCCAACCGTACAATAAAGGGACATTAAGTAAATTCTGATACTTTTTATTTGATGCTGGAAAGTTTGCAAGATTTCACCGTCCAGTGGCACAATTTGGCAAAGCAGTTGAAAATGGAAATTTAAATGTCAAAAATATGTGGTGGATGAAGGAATAAAAAAATCCCACTTCCTTTAATTCCAAGAAGAAGATGTACCCTGCCTTCAAAAAGTGGGAAATGACACAGGATGCAGTATAGTAGTACTGCCCACCAAAGAACACACATATATTCTCACGCACACATCTCACGCACACAAAACACATTTACACTTGCATTCACATCTACACATCTACACATCCACACAAGTCTTAATTGTGTACTGTTTCAGATATGGCAGAAGGAGTAAATCAAACCCCTTCTGGTAGTTGTGAACATTCACCGGCTCTGCCCTCTCCAATGGGTACTCCTCTAAGGAAGGTGTTTGCCAGAATATCAGGTCTGGCTACACCCCGTAAAAGGAACACAGCTCCACCTGGTCGCAGGATTTTTCGTGGAGATGTGGAACAGGAAGAGTTCCAGCATGCAAGTACTCATTGTCTCTCATCATACTACAGTGTCTTTGTAGCTCGTCTTGCTATCATGGTTAGTGAAACGTTTTGCTTTCACTGTTGTTTCAATTTTTGAATATGCAAACTTTGAGATCTGGTAGTAAAAACTGATGAGCTCCTTCAATTTGGTTTTCTATGCCTATTTAATTAGAAATTGTGTTGGTTATAGATAAGGCATGAATAGATTCATTTAGAAACTTATATTTCTTTTCTCAGCTAACTGAGAGTTGGGTAATGCTATTTTAGTTTTTGGCCTGATTGCCTCTCATGCCTTTCAAAAGCCTTCATCCATGTACTTACCCTTTTTCAACTCTTCCAGAAAAGTAGAATTTGACATTCGTTTCTCCACTAATCCAGTCCATTATGATAACCAGATAGTTTCACTGTTTTGCATCTGTGTGTATCTAGGAACTGCACTAGTTCACTTTGGTTTGTTGACGAATTGCTTTGTTTAATATCTTGTGCAGGTCATGCTAGCTATTTTGATTGGGCTGCTAACTATATTAACATGGCATTTTACTAAGATTTATACAAGAAGATCTCTGAACACCTTAGCAACTGGTCTCCGTTATGAACTTCTACAACGGCCCATATTGCGAATGTGGAACATCTTAAATTCAACCTCGGAAATAACAACTGCTCAGGTTAAGTTGTCAGAATATGTAATCAGACGGTACAGCAAATCAACTACTCAGGCAGAACAAGTTGAGGTTGGTCGTGCTTCATTCTGTTCAAACAATTTACTCCTTAAAAAATTATTTTGAAACTCTTTAGGAAACATTC